CATGCTTTCTTTAAAACAGCTATTATGAAGAAACGAAAAATAAGAATGAGAAAATGACGGTAGAATAACCTGAGAGAGAAATAGAAGACAAGAAATAATTAAAAAATAATAAAGTAATATATACATACATAATTTAAGTGTCTATGCTAAGAGCGTGAAAAGGGAGACTATTTAATCATCATCTATATCCGATCTAGAAACTAATATCCTAGATACACAGCGACGCGCGTGCGCGTGCGAATGGGATGAGGGCACCAATGATTGGGCTGCGGGAAGGTAAGGTGAATGGGGGGGGGGGGGGATGGAAGAAGTTACTGGCAGGAAGTGAGTAGGCAATGAAATAAATATATTAAATGAACCAAATCAACGGAATACTGAGAGCAATATTCAGCAATATGTGTCACACCGCCGTCTCTTTGCAGCTTTTAATCTCAACACTCGTGGCCACTGTGTCAGCTTCATTTCAGGGCTACAATCTAGGTACGCCCTCATGACCAAGGTTTAAAATTGGAGGTCCGGAACCAGGAATTAGCTCAGGAGGATACGGTCCCAGACAGGTGCTGCATGTGGACGACAGGTGTCATTCCACGTGTCAATCGTAAAGTGTATTTACATGACGCGCCACCAGCACCTGTGTCCTATGGTCCTCCGCCTTATATCCCTGAGCCAACCATAGATACAAATATCGTGTTCATCCGAACTCCTGAAAGAGGACAAGGACCAGATCCCATCGTCGTGCCTCCGCCACAACAGAAACACGTCGTGTATGTCCTGCAACAAAACAGACGGAGCANAGCACTGTGTCCTATGGTCCTCCGCCTTACATCCCTGAGCCAACCATAGATACAAATATCGTGTTCATCCGAACTCCTGAAAGAGGACAAGGACCAGATCCCATCGTCGTGCCTCCGCCACAACAGAAACACGTCGTGTATGTCCTCAACAAACAGACAGAGCAAGGGACAGGATGTGATTGAAGTACCAGCACCCCAGCAAGTAGTCCTGAAGTTTACTTCGTGAACTACAGACGGCGAGAACCCAGTTCTTCCCAGCGGTGTTGATCTCCAGAGTGCATTGAACGCAGCTTCCCAGGGCAGCAGAGGTTTTGGCAGCGGAATTAGCGGTGGATTCGGAGATGGTATTATTAGCGGAGATTTTATCTCTAGAAAATGATAATAATAATAATAACAATGATAAGAATAAGAATAAATTATTAATGTCGATGATGATAATAATAATAGTAATAAATAATAAAAAACGTAGTGATGATAATATTAATATGCATTACTAATGATCGTCAAAATAGTAACACGAACAGAAATAGAAATAAAAATAATGATATTTATAACAATAAAACAATCATAAAAGCTACAAATAACAAAATCATTGTATTAAAAAATTATAATAATAATACAGGTAATAATAATGAGAAAAATATTAATTATCATATACCAATGATAAGAATGATATTGATAATGATGATACTAATGATGATGATCATAAGAAATAAAAGACAACAGTTTTTTAATAGATGGAATAACATTCGTTAAAGCTAGAAAAAAGAAAAATACAAGAAGAATGTATTTAGTTTCCGTCCACTTTTAAAGAAGCCTGAATTATGTATCAGCTTACCTGCTGATGCACAGGAAGGAAATTACAAAAAGAGTATGTAAAATATTACCTTATTTGTAGTACTTCATGATTTGTATCGGCGTACGAGAAAGTTATTAGCTTAGTGATTCTACGTATAATCACAATTGGAATGAATTTACTCTAAGGTATAATGAAAGAGAAAGGAAAATGAAATACAAGTAGTGGAAAAATATAAAGTTTGTGACGTACTATGAAGACTATACCATTATTTTCCGGGTTTAAGATGCATGAAATCCAAGCACAAACTACGGCTTTCGTTTACAGTTATAACGCATGTTATCTATTTCACTCAAAGCGTAAACACATTGAGAACAATGGGAAATGTTCAGAAAAGGAGGGGGGGGGGGCGAAAAAAGAAATTAAATAAAAACGGAAGAAATGGATTCAGATCCATATGCACATACACATATACTTGGTATGATTTACAAAGAAAAACAAAATATTTTGTTCTTAATGAACATCGTATGTAGAATTTCGAACACAGGGGTAAGTGAATGGTGGCGAGTAGAGGAAGGGGAGGGAAGGCTGGGGAGAGTGGGCTTGGGGAGAAGAGAAGGGATTGAAGGGTAGGAAGAAAGCGAGTACGGGAGCTCCTAGGTCTACCTGCATACAGGCATAAGAGCGTAATTAAGAATGTATAATATATACAGCAACAAACTCGTACATAAACGCAATCACACAACACCGCACATACACACCAATAGAGGGAAGGCACTATATTGTGCGGGGTGGGTTCTGGGGCGACCTGTGAGGGCGATGAGAGCAAGAAGAGAGAATGGAGCGAGAGGAAATGTGACATATAAAAGGCAGCGCTTGGCGCTGGTGAGCATTACTTCCAACATGAAGTTCCTGGTAAGTCAGGTCTCTGTTGTGTCAGTGAGTTCGCTCGAAAGGAAAGGAATGATACGAGGAAAAGAAATGAAAACAATGATATCTTATAAAGCAAACTATGTCACTGCTTTCTCCTTTTGCAGATCTTAATCACAATAATCGTGGCCACGTCGTTAGCTGCACCTCAGGGTTACAATCTGGGTACGCCTTCAGGACCAGGTTTTGGAATTGGAGGTCCGGGACCAGGATTTGGATCAGGAGGATGCGGTCCCGGACAGGTGCTGCATGTGGACGGAAGGTGTGTCATTCCACGTGTCAACCGTAAAGTGTATTTATATGACGCGCCACCAGCACCTGTGTCCTATGGTCCTCCGCCTTACATCCCTGAGCCAACCATAGATACAAATATCGTGTTCATCCGAAACTCCTGAAGGAGGACAAGGACCAGATCCCATCGTCGTGCCTCCGCCACAACAGAAACACGTCGTGTATGTCCTCAACAAACAGACGGAGCAAGGACAGGATGTGATTGAAGTGCCAGCACCCCCAGCAAGTAGTCCTGAAGTGTATTTCGTGAACTACGCTGACGGCGAGAACCCAGTTCTTCCCAGCGGTGTTGATCTCCAGAGTGCCTTGAACGCAGCTTCTCAGGGCGGTGGTCAAGTAATTGGTGGCGGTGGCGGAGGTGTTGGCGGTGGTTTCGGAGGTGGAATTAGCGTGGATTCGGAGGCGGAATTAGCGGTGGATTCGGAGGCGAATTAGCGGTGGATTCGGAGGTGGTGTTATTAGCGGAGGTTTCGTAAGCGGTGGAGATAGCGGAGAATTCATCTCTGGTGGAAGTGGCGGTGGATTCATCACAGGAGGTGGTTTCGATGGAGGTCCAGCATTGTTTCCACTCCATCTAATCTTTACAGTGCACCATAGAGTTCAGCATCTGAAAATTTCAATACTATGTGCTTCTAATTAACTTGTTATCCATATGGAGTTTAAAAACTTTAATTTTTTTCAATAAAGAAAATAAGAATAGATGAGCAATTCTTGACCTATGCCCTGCTGCATAAAAGGAAGAGAAAGACAGCATACATTCATACTTATGCACTTACAAATACATTGTAAGTTGTTTTATTGCTTTGCCTTCATGGGAATGTATATTTGTATTGTTTTTTTATTTCACTTGCTAAATGCAGATACCTTCTATAAGAAAGGAAACAGAGCGAATGCATTATAGTCGAATAAAATATTATAGGTCTACCCCAAAATAAGATTAATAACTATGATAACATGTACAGAAGTCAAGAAAAAAATCCCTGGAAGCATTTCCTAATGATAGGAGATTCAAATGCTTATACAGACTAGGTCTCGTACTGTGCTTTACTCAAAGAAAAGAGTAATAGTTTTTAATAAAATACAAAAGCGATTCTTTATCTCTGTTTTGCAAAATTGGGCATGGAAATACAAAAGTATATAGGTACACGCGCACCCAATAATAATAGTTTAATGGTTTTGATAAAAAAAGAAAAAAAAAATCGCATACCACGTGCAGTGATAATTAAATGAAAAGAAACCGAGGGATCATCACCGGAATTTGGTCAGATAAAAAATACGGAAATGATTTGTAGGTCCTGATAACAAAAGAAAATTATATATGGTAACATATATTTTATTATAATTTCAAAAGATAATTTTCTTTTGCACTAAATATTAGCTCATGCACATACTACGAAACATTGGAAATTTGGTAGTGCTCTGTACATAAATAATAATAAATAATAATAATAATAATAATAATAATAATAATAAAGAAAAAATAAAAAAATAAAAAGTAAATAGACAAAAGATGGCATAATTCCATACCCGGGAGCTCAGGATAACGTTACCTATAACTAAAATATGTGTACTTGAGCTGGATTTGTCTTACGAACTTAAAATCTATTTTACCTTAACTTTCATACGCAAAATATTTCAATTAATTTAATAGTCATACTTAAAAATAGGAAATCCGCAAACTAAAATATATATTGAGGTATATATACTATTAAAGTAAGTTATATACCATTTCATACTGTTCTCATTATGTTATGATCTCCATGCATATGACAATGTATATCTAAATATGTAGACGAACACATATAGTAAAGTAAAAAGGTCTGGATAAAAGTCAATTAAATAGAAAAGAGAGTAAAGCAAGAAAAGGAGTGTCCAAGCTACACCTAGATATTTTTTTCTGGGCTAAATTCATGGCAGCCGACGGCAGTCGCGCCGAATCCGAGATACGAAGTCATGCTTTCTTTAAAACAGCTATTATGAAGAAACGAAAAATAAGAATGAGAAAATGACGTAGAATAACCTGAAAGAGAAATAGAAGACAAGAAATAATTAAAAATAATAAAGTAATATATACATACATAATTTAAGTGTCTATGCTAAGAGCGTGAAAAAGGAGACTATTTAATCATCATCTATATCCGATCTAAAACTAATATCCTAGATACACAGCGACGCGCGTGCGCGTGCGAATGGATGAGGGCACCAATGATTGGGCTGCGGGGAAGGTAAGGTGAATGGGGGGGGGGGGATGGAAGAAGTTACTGGCAGGAAGTGAGTAGGCAATGAAATAAAATATATTAAATGAACCAAATCAACGGAATACTGAGAGCAATATTCAGCAATATGTGTCACACCGCCGTCTCTTTGCAGCTTTTAATCTCAACACTCGTGGCCACTGTGTCAGCTTCATTTCAGGGCTACAATCTAGGTACGCCCTCATGACCAAGGTTTAAAATTGGAGGTCCGGAACCAGGAATTAGCTCAGGAGGATACGGTCCCAGACAGGTGCTGCATGTGGACGACAGGTGTCATTCCACGTGTCAATCGTAAAGTGTATTTACATGACGCGCCACCAGCACCTGTGTCCTATGGTCCTCCGCCTTATATCCCTGAGCCAACCATAGATACAAATATCGTGTTCATCCGAACTCCTGAAAGAGGACAAGGACCAGATCCCATCGTCGTGCCTCCGCCACAACAGAAACACGTCGTGTATGTCCTCAACAAACAGACGGAGCAAGGACAGGATGTGATTGAAGTACCAGCACCACCAGCAAGTAGTCCTGAAGTGTATTTCGTGAACTACGCAGACGGCGAGAACCCAGTTCTTCCCAGCGGTGTTGATCTCCAGAGTGCATTGAACGCAGCTTCCCAGGGCAGCAGAGGTTTTGGCAGCGGAATTAGCGGTAGTTTCGGAGATGGTGTTATTAGCGGAGATTTTATCACTAGAAAATGATAATAACAATAATAATAATAATGATAAGAAGAGAATATTAATGTTGATGATCATAATAATAATAATAATAATAATAAAAAATAATAATAACGGTAGTGATGATAATAATATGCATTACTGTAATGATCGTCAAAATAGTAACATGAACAACAGAAATAGAAATAAAAATAATTATATTTATAAAAATAAAATAATCATTAAAATAACACAAATAACAATAATAATTGTATTGAAAACAATAATATTAATAATAATAATACATGTTATAATAATGAGAAAAATGTTAATTATCATATACCAATGGTAAGAATGATATTGATAATGATGATACTAATGATGATAATAATAAGAAATAAAAGAAACAAAATTTTTTAGTAGATGGAATAACATTCATTAAAGTTAGAAAAAAGAAAAATACAAGAATGTATTTAGTTCCGTCTACTTTTAAAGAAGCCCGAATTATGTATCAGCTTTCCTGCTGATGCACAGGAAGGAAATTACAAAAAAGAGTATGTATAAATATTACCTTATTTGTAGTACTTCATGATTTTGTATCGGCGTACGAGAAAGTTCTTAGCTTAGTGATTCTACGTATAATCACAATTGGAATGAATTTACTCTAAGGTATAATGAAGGAGAAAGGAAAATGAAATACAAGGAGTAGAGGAAAAATATAAAGTTTGTGACGTACTGTGAAGACTACACCATTATTTTCCGGGTTTAAGATGCTGCATGAAATCCAAGCACAAACTACGGCTTTCGTTTACAGTTATAACGCATGTTATCTATTTCACTCAAAGCGTAAACACATTGAGAAAAATGGGAACATGTTCAGAAAAGGGGGGGGGGAAAGCAAAAAAGAAATTAAATAAAACGGAAGAAATGGATTCAGATCCATATGCACATACACATATACTTGGTATGATTTACAAAGAAAAAAAAAAATATTTTGTTCTTAATGAACATCGTATGTAGAATTTCGAACACAGGGGTAAGGAATGGCGGCGAGTAGAGGAAGGGGAGGGAAGGCTGGGGAGAGTGGGCTTGGGGAGAAGAGAAGGGATTGAAGGTAGGAGGAGAGCGAGTGGGAGCTCCTAGGTCTACCTGCATACAGGCATAAGAGCGTAATTAAGAAAGTATAATATATACAGCAAAACTCGTACATAAACGCAATCACACACCACCGCACATACACACCAATAGAGGGAAGGCACTATATTGTGCGGGGTGGGTTCTGGGGCGACCTGTGAGGGCGATGAGAGCAGGAGAATGGAGCGAGAGGAAATGTGACATATAAAAGGCAGCGCTTGGCGCTGGTGAGCATTACTTCCAACATGAAGCTCCTGGTAAGTCAGGTCTTTGTTGTGTCAGTGAGTTCACTCGAAAGGAAAGGAATGATACGAGGAAAAGAAATGAAAACAATGATCTCTTATAAAGCAAACTATGTCACTGCTTTCTCCTTTTGCAGATCTTAATCACAATAACCGTGGCCACGTCGTTAGCCAGCCCTCAAGGTTATAATCTAGGTACGCCTTCAGGACCAAGTTTTGGAATTGGGGGTCCGGGACCAGGATTTGGATCAGGAGGATGCGGTCCCGGACAGGTGCTGCATGTGGACGGCAGGTGTGTCATTCCACGTGTCAACCGTAAAGTGTATTTATATGACGCGCCACCAGCACCTGTGTCCTATGGTCCTCCGCCTTACATCCCTGAGCCAACCATAGATACAAATATTTGTTCATCCGAACTCCTGAAGGAGGACAAGGACCAGATCCCATCGTCGTGCCTCCGCCACAACAGAAACACGTCGTGTATGTCCTCAACAAACAGACGGAGCAAGGACAGGATGTGATTGAAGTGCCAGCACCCCCAGCAAGTAGTCCTGAAGTGTACTTCGTGAACTACGCAGACGGCGAGAACCCAGTTCTTCCCAGCGGTGTTGATCTCCAGAGTGCCTTGAACGCAGCTTCTCAGGGCGGTGGTCAAGTAATTGGTGGCGGTGGCGGAGGTGTTGGCGGTGGTTTCGGAGGCAGCGGTGGATTCGGAGGCGGAATTAGCGGTGGATTCGGAGGCGGAATTAGCGGTGGATTCGGAGGTGGTGTTATTAGCGGAGGTTTCGTAAGGTGGAGATAGCGGAGAATTCATCTCTGGTGGAAGTGGCGGTGGATTCATCACTGGTTTCGCCCAGCATTGTTTCCACTCCATCTAATCTTTACAGTACACCATAGAGTTCAGCATCTGAAAATTTCTATACTATGTGCTTCTAATTAATTTGTTATCCATATGGAGTTTATAAACTTTAATTTTTTCAATAAAGAAAATAAGAATAGATGAGCAATTCTTGACCTATGCTCTGCTGCATAAAAGGAAGAGAAAGACATTAGCATACATTCATACTTATGCACTTACAAACACATTGTAAGTTGTTTTATTGCTTTGCCTTCATGGGAATGTATATTTCTTTTGTTTTTTATTTCACTTGCTAAATGCAGATACCTTCTATAAGAAAGGAAAATAGAGCGAATGCATTATAGTCGAGTAAAATATTATAGGTCTACCAAAATAAGATTAATAACTATGATAACATGTACAATTCAAGAAAATTAAATCTCCTGGAAGCATTTCCTAATGACTGGAGATTCAAATGCTTATACAGACTAGGTCTCGTACTGTGCTTTACTCAAAGAAAAGAGTAATAGTTTTTAATAAAATAGAAAAGCGACTCTTAATCTCTGTTTTGCAAAATTGGGCATGGAAATACGAAAGTATATAAGTACACGCGTACCCAACAACAATAGTCTAATGGTTTTGATTATATATATGTATATATATATATATATATATATATATATATATATATATATATATATATATATATATATATATATATATTATATATATTATATATATATATATATATTATATATATATATATTTCGCATACCACGTGCAGTGATAATTAAATGAAAAGAAACCGAGGGATCATTATCGTAATTCGGTCAGATAGAAAATACTAAAATGATTTGTAGGTCCTTATAAAAGAAAATGATATATGGTAGCATATATTTTTATTATAATTTCAAAAGAAACAACTTTTCTTTTACACAAAATATTAGTTCATGCATATACTACGAAATATTGGATATTTGGTAGTGCTGTGTATACTTAAAAAAAATAATAATAATAATAAATAAATAAATAAAGATAAAATAGACAAAATATGGCATAATTCCATACCCGGAAGCTCAGGGAAAACGTTCCTTATAACTAAAATCTGAGTACTTGAGGTCTATTCGTCTTACGAACTTAAAATCTATGTTACCTTAACTTTCATACACAAAACATCGGAATCAATTTAACAGTCATACTTATAAGAGGAAATCCTCACACTAAAATAGTTATATTAACGTATATATACTATTAATGTAAGTTATATACAATTTCATACTGTTCTCATTATGGTATGATCTCCGTGCATATGACAATGTATATCTAGATATGTAGACGAACACATAGTAAAGTAAAAAGGTGTGGATGAGAGTCAGTTAAATAGAAAAGAAAATAAAGCAAGAAAAGGAGTGGTCATGTTACACCTGGATATTTTTTTCTGGGCTAAATTCATGGCAGCCGACGGCAGTCGCGCCGAATCCGAGATACGGTCAGGTTTCTTTAAAACAGCTATTATGAAGAAACGAAAAATAAGAATGAGAAAATGACAGTAGAATAACCTAAAAGAGAAAAAGAAGACAAGAAATAATTAAAAATAATAAAGTAATATATACATACATAATTTAAGTGTCTATGCTAAGAGCGTGAAAAAGGAGACTTTAATCATTATCTATATCCGATCTAGAAACTAATAATCTAGATACACAGCGACTCGCGTGCGCGTGCGAATGGGATGAGGGCACCAATGATTGGGCTGCGGGGAAGGTAAGGTACGGTAGGAAGAGGGTAGGGGCAGGGAGTGAGTAGGCAATGAAATAAGATGAATTAAATGAACAAAGTCAACTAAATACTGAGAGCATTATTCAGCAATGTGTGTCACACCGACGTCTCTTTGCAGCTTTTAATCTCAACACTCGTGGCCACTGCGTCAGCGGCATTTCAGGGCTACAATCAGGACCAAGTTTTAAATTGGAGGTCCAGAAACAGGAATTAGCTCAGTAGGATACGGTCTCAGACAGGTGCTCCATGTGGACGGCAGGTGTGTCACTCCACGTGTCAACCGTAAAGTGTATTTATGTGACGCACCACCAACACCTGTGTCCTACGGTCCTGCGCCTTACATCCCTGAGCCAACCAGACACAAATATCGTGTTCATCCTACCTCCTGAAGGAGGACAAGGACCAGATTCCATCGTCGTGCCTCCGCCATAACAGAAACACGTCGAGTATGTCCTCAACAAACAGACGGAGCAGGGACAGGATGTGGTTGAAGTACCAGCATCACCAGCAAGTAGTCCTGACGTTTACTTCGTGAAGTATCAGCTTTCCTGCTGATGCACAGGAAGAAATTTACAAAACGAGTATGTACAAATATTACCTTATTTGTAGTACTTCATGATTTTGTATCGGCGTACGAGAAAGTTCTTAGCTTAGTGATTCTACGTATAATCACAATTGGAATGAATTTACTCTAAGGTATAATGAAAGAGAAAGGAAACTGAAATACAAGGAGTAGAGGAAAAATATAAAGTTTGTGAAGTACTGTGAAGACTACATTATTATTTTCCGGGTTTAAGATGTTGCATGAAATCCAAGCACAAACAACGGTTTTCGTTTACAATTATAACGCATGTTATCTATTTCACTCAAAGCGTAAACACATTGAGAACAATGGGAACATGTTCAGAAAAGGAGGGGGGGGGAGCGAAAAAGAAATTAAATAAAAACGGAAGAAATGGATTCAGATCCATATGCACATACACATATACTTGGTATGATTTACAAAGAAAAAAATGTTTTGTTGTTAATGAACATCGTATGTAGAATCTCGA